AGTTTTGTCTGCTTTGAAGCGTATTTTTGATACGTAGTTTAGAACGCGTTCGCTAGGAATTTAATTCATAAACTTTTTATGTTATTGTAAAAATATTTAACTTTTTAAACAAATCACAAAGAAACAGAGCTATAGAGAAAAATCGTTTTCAACGATTAAATCTTTTTTTTTTTTAATTTAGGAAATTAAAAAAAAAATTAAATTAAATATAAAAGTCTTAACTATGCAAACTCTTTTATTAATTATTCTTAAAACAAAAAAACAAATACTTGTATGCCAAACTTTAATCGTGCAAACTTATAAAAATACTCAACTGAAATAATTTAAGTATATTTAATAATTTGAATCGTATCTGTTTATAATAAACGTTCGTAAAAATTTGTTTATTAAAAATTAAGTTCCTTAACTTATAAACAAACTCAAAAGTATTTTCATTCTACGCATAATTACAAAACTCTTTTTTTTTTTCGTTTGTAAGCAATTTAACTTGATAAAATAAAAAAAAGAATAAATATGAGGTAATCTTTGTTAAGAATAAATTTAATTTATTTATTGAACTATATTTTTATTTTTAATTATATATCAACTTAATTAAAATATAGTAACATGTTAAAATATTTTAACATGACTTGTATTATTTATAAACCGTTGGGCAGTTGCCCTTACGGCACTATTGTTTTTGGATAATATTTTATTTTGATGAAGATCACATAACTTACATTTGATTTTAATAACGTAAGTCTTCTCTTTTTCTGTGATCATCGCATCGGCAAAGCATCTGCAAAGTCCCAAGATTTAAAAGTTTTTAAAGTAAATCTTTTGTCCTTCAAAATACAATCCATATTCGAACTTTAAATAATTTAGAGATAATAGAAATATACAAGGTTTTTATATACTAGTTTGTTTTGTTTTATAAAGAAAAATACATATTCATTAGTAAAAAATGGAGACTGTCATTAAACTAAAACGTGCCTTAGTATTTATTTAACGGAACCTGTAATGTGCGCGTGCATAATAAAACCTCCGTTATATAAATATATTCAACGTAATATTAGTGTCATCAGCGGATGTTGTAGTCTACTCATGATTTCTTTACCTTATATAATAACTTGATTTATGACAAAAAAAACTTATTGAATCGCACGCAGAAGAATTTTAACAAATTGTCTTCATTCAAATATTGCGAGTAACAGGTAATTTTTTTTTCTGTGCCAACCCCCTCCCCTCGCATAACTTAAACTATATACTAACAAACTAATAAGAAAAGCTATATACTATTAAACTAACTATAAGCTATATACTAATAAACTAATAAGAAAAGCAAAGACATTTTTTTTAACATCTCAAAAAAATGTCTTGATATTTTTGTTATCATGATAACAAAAATATTAAGACATTTTTTGAGATTTTATTTAAAAAAATGTCAATTCTTAATTACAAATTTTTTTGCAAATGTTTTTTATTATAAATTCAGTAAAAAATTTATAAAAAATCTATATTACAAAAAACTTTTATATTCTGTATTAATAAATATAGAATATAAATTTTTTAAAAGTTTTTTACTAAAAACTTTACTACTTTTTATTAAAAACATTCCAAAAAATTTGTAGTTAAGGATTGACAAACAATTTTTCATGTTGCTAAATATTTGGATTAAAAGTTTAGCGTCAAATTAATTGCTATAAAAAAGAAAGATATATCGCGATGAAAAGTTACAACAATTAATTTTAAAGTAAATTCTTTTTTTTAATAAATACCTTAACATATCGTTATTTAAAAGTTAATGTGGTTTTTTTGAAAATTAATTACTTCTTTTATGTTACCGCTAATTTAAAAGTTAAAAAATGATAAAAAGTAGCTTAACCAAAACAGCTCTACGCGTACGTAAAAAGCGCTTAAGGCGTACGTAAATCGCTCTAGGCGTAACGCTTTAAAACAAGGCCTGTAATTGACTTATTTAGTATAATAGAAATTTTCAAAGATTGTGTGGCATAACATAAAAATAAATAACAGTACCAGATACATATGGTATCGTTATTTTAATTTAATTATGTTGTATTGCTTCCGTATTTTACTTCCTCATCTGATATTGTTACTTGGATCATGGAAGTATAAAACAGATGAAGTTCATTGAGGCGCGAACATCAAAGCAATTTCAAGCCGTCTTAGGAGTATGCTTGTAAACGACAAAAAAAGAAAACAAGTTTTACTGGACAAAAAACAACAAAATTCACTGAAATTATACTTATTCAAACATTAAAAAAAGTTATTCTAAGGATATGCTATAGTTTTAACCATTACTAATTCAAAAAAAAAGATTTATTAAAACTCAGCAATTAAATAGAACCTCTTTATTTTAAAAGCATATGTTAGTTTAAGCTTCTTTTTCTAGCTTCAAATCATAACACGACATTTGATTAAAGAGATAAAACATTTTTTTTTAAATAAAAAATGTTTTCTAAATTACTAAAGCTTATAGTTTCATTAACCGTATATCATAATTCCATTTATTCTAGTAATATTCCATTCATTTAATATGAAGTTTATAAAAAAGTTGTTGTTTGCCGTTTCGTTGCGCCATTTTTAATGTTTTTATTGTCAAAACTCTATATTTTTAAATTATTATAAACGTAACTATTTGCGTCATCGTATACAAATTTGGCGTAACAGTTCAGACTTGATGTCGTTTTCTTATAGTTTTTGAAACAAAAGGTTACAAGCATAGTCCTGAAGCATTTTAATGTGGTTGAACGTCCATCTGTTTTATACTTCCATGCTTTAATTATATCTCGCGTGGTATCGTAATTTTTGCCTGGTATAGTCTATAATTTAAAAAGTCACTCTTACATTTTTTATTTTTTGCTTATCGAGCCTATTATACTATTTGATACCATACGATTCCCTTTATTATCGATATCGTGTGGTATCGTATCTATACCAATAGCAATAGCATTTATAAGATTTCCACTTTTGTAATAACAAATTTTATGCACTTTCCAATTTCATTTTTTAATCGTCTAAAATAATTTTATATTGAACCAGGGCCGTCGAGAAAGAGGGCAAGTAGAGCATCCGTGACTCGGGCGCCAGAAGACGAAGAAATATTTTTTAAAGCACTACCATAAGAGCCGTTTATGTTGAAAGTGGCCTAGTCTCTTTGTTTTAAAACAGAGATTTTTATAGGCTTGTGTTTTTAACATGTTTGTTGTACTGTTAACTAGCAAAATTTCTTTCCAAAATATTTCAATAATTTTCAACACAATTGGTTTAAATTAATTCACAAATAAAGAGATACCTCGAGGAACTTCCGCAGCTTCAGCAACAAGGGAAACCTTATTTAAGAACCATAAATTTATTGAAGGTGAATTAGATGTCTATAAATAATCGAGCAGAATTCATACACCGCAGTTTCTTAAAAAAGGTTTATTCAAGAAAACGGTGGCATGAGATATTGCGCCATATTCTAGATACAACATTGTTTCTATTATCACAAAATATGACGTTTATTTTTTATTTAGATAATATTTTTTAGTGTCAAAAATGCATTTTTTTTTTTTTTTTTTACTGTTTTTTGCATTACTATTACAACAGGTCAAACTTCTGCTTTAGGAGAACAAGTGAACTTCAATTTTTTTGGAGCTCTGGAAATGATTTTAAAACATAACAAAACAAATTATCTGGAAAACATAGCTTGTCACCATAAAGAGGGAATTCGGATGCAGACCCATTACCTCTTATGGTTATCACAGAATGAGTTCATACACGAGTGTGTATTATTGGCGCAGTGCGCTCTTCTAAGAGAAATTAGGAAAGCAGGATACTTTACGGTCATTACCCATTGGGGCGCCGGACGTGTCACACAGAACAAATCAGTTTTATTCGATTCAATTTCAACATAAAAGCTGGGAGGTAAAAGAACGTTTTCTTTACATTTTTTTTTAATTGCAGTCCGGGCTAAATGAAAGTTTTGCAAGAATTGAGAGAAATCTCTTCACAAGCTTGGTAATAGGTAATACCAAGTGGTCAGCTCAGTTTGCCGCTATTGAAATGCAAAAGGACCACGAAAAACTATTGTTGCTCTCAATCGCATTACAGAGGGTCTTACCACTGACATGTTAAATCAAGCTAAGTCCTTGATAAAGTTGTTAAAATCGTTTGAAACTACTGTGCTTCTTACCTTTTGGTACAAAATTCTTTAAGTTGTCAATGAAGTCGTTTGATTCAGTCAACTTTCAGCTAACTATCGATAACAAAATTATTTTCAGTCAACATCTGATTAGTATTCATAACTGTATCCTCTCATCATGGATTAATATTTTAGCTGAAGCAAAAGCTGTTGCAAATCCTCTCGGCAATAAACCTGTAAATGCAGCGCTCTGTTATAATAGCCCTGAGCAACAATTTGAGATAAACAGTAATTAAGTTGCTAACAACGAATTATTTACTTTTTTTTCAGATGATTGTGTGAACCAAAACTTAATTGAAAAGAACGTATTTAAGTAAAATAATGAAAACAGCACAAAACATTAAAGAAAAGTTAAAAAATTAACAATATTAATAATGTAAAAATCTCTATTAAATCTATTAAAGTTGTGTTTTTGTGATTTTTTGAGTATCAAGCATTTCATACCTCTTTTCTAAAGCTTTCCTAAAAGTGATACTTATATTTGAAATGGTTTACTAATCTATAAACTACTTTAAGAATATAGATGATTTTCACAGAATTATAAAAAAATTAGCACATATTTATGAAGTAAAATGTATCACATTAGCTAGAGTGAGACTTAGACAAAATCAATGGTATTATTCTAAACATAAAAGATTATCGTGCATTTATTTACAAAACTGATGATGAATTATAAAAAAATTATTAGCACATTATTTATGAAGTAAAATCACATTAGGTAGAGTGAGAAGACAAAAACAAACAATGGTATTATTCTAAACATAAATTGTGCATTTATTTACAAAACAATTACAGCATTATATTGAAATCTTACATTGAATCCTCTTCCCATGAGTTTTTATCATCTTGCTTTTCTTCATTGCTACTATAACTTGATTCAGATGTAAATCCAGTCTAAATAAAATTAAAAAAATTACTAATTATACTTTTCAATCTATATTAACTAAACTGATAGCCATTTTTGACTAAGGTCAGATTACTAATACCTTTTACTAGTAACCAACCAAATATGCCCCTGCTAAATGTGGCCTTTTTTTAAATCCATCCTACATTTTAAAATGTCAAAATTATGTGTCCATAAAACCCCGCTTTTTTGCTGAATATTAACTGCTATGTATTAAAAATAATTATTTGTAACAATCAAAAATTAGGTCACTGATTTGCTGGTTATTTTACTACTTACTTCACTATTCTGTCACTATGTTTCAAATAATAAATAAAAATAAAAATAATACAAATTTAGAATTTGAATTATTGCATTTAGTGTTCTATTTGTCATAATCGCCAACGAAATTACAACTGTCGCCTGAAAAGCTGTTACTTTGAAATTTACTGTAGTTACATATGCCGTTACCTAATGCTAGTGAAACAAGAAAGTTGCTGTATATCAAACTAATCATGATCGATTGCATTATAATAACGATTGAACTTTTTCAAACTTATTTTCAATTTGAGTTTTAACAATTTAAAAAAAAAAAGAAAGCATAGTTTAAAACTAAAAGAAAAATAGAAAGATTAATATAAAATTCAAAAAAAAAAAAAATTAAAATAATTTAAATTTAGTTAATAAAAAAGTTTATTTGTCCCAAATTATAGAATATTATATATTTTTTGGAGCAGCAAAATGTTATGTATGATAATGCATATATATATATATATATATATATATATATATATATATATATATATATATATATATATATATATATATATATATATATATATATATATATATATATATATATATATATATATATATATATATATATATATATATATATATATATATATATATATATATATATATATATATATAGCCAATATTTTAAATGGAGAAACAAAGGTCTAAGATGAAATACCACACCTCCCTAATTAATTTTGTAGAGAAAAAATTGCAATAAAATAAAACTAGAGCATAAAAGGACAGATACAAAAGATGGGAACTCACTGAAAGACAAGTCACATCAGATTGAGTTATGGTTAACAGATCGAGAGACACAAATACTATTATAGTTGCTGCTCAAATGAGCAGCAACTATAATAGTATCTGTAGAAAAGAGAAAAGATGCAACTTTATGGTTTTATTTCAAAAGCTCAAAATAGAGCTCAAAAACTTGACAGTTAAACCAGGTTCAACTACATTTACAATAACTTTCTGGACCTAGTCTAGAAGAAAAGGAGCATGATTAGAAGAAATAGCCTAAATATGACAACAGTATTATATAAAGGGATGAATAAGAGATTTGTATTGAATGAAATTGGGAGGAGTGAGTGGATATGGTGAGCACAATAAAGACTAACTTTGTAATCGATTGTATATAAGAAGTTTTTTTTTCCATTTTCAAATTTCATCAATATAGGAATATTGACAATATAATGATAATTGTTAGCAGCAAATATCTTAGTTTTGTTTGGGTTAAAATTCACAAGTCATTGCAAGCTATCACAGAAGAGTAATCAGATTCAAGATTGACTGCCTGTCTAAAAGTCAAGATTGACTGCCTGTCTAAGTAATCAAAAAGTCATGACTTTTTGTCAAGACTGAAGTTGTGTTGATAGCAAATAGAGTTACTTTGCATGCAAGATTGATAAGACCCTTAACATAGATAACAAACAATACAGGAGAAATGATGGAACCTTGTGTTACCCCAGAAAGTGCAGGAAATAAAAGATAGTGTTAGCATTCTAGAACTACTTTAATATTGTGTAAGAACTGAAATAATTCAATCATTTTAAATACTTGTTTTAAAATGATTGAATTATTTTTAAACCCATATACATTATAAGAAGATAGCTAATGAAGTAGACCAACATGCAAAATTTTATCTAAAGCCTGATGGGGCAATAGTTATTGGGACAAAAGTGATATCTAGAGTTTTTTTAAATCAGAACACAAATTCCATTTTCTAACTGACAGGAAAACAAAATTCAATTTAGCAGTTAACAGGTTAGAGAGTATTGAACAGAGAAGAACACTATTTATCAGAGACAAGAATTGTCTAAACCACAAGCTCTAGATGATTTTAAAAGAAAAATAACACAAGAGCTGTAAAAAAGATGAATTAAAAGATAATTAAAAATAGCAGCTGCACAAGGTGAGAATCATGGGGTAGAATGAGACATAAACTGATGAGAAAAAAAAGCTTATGCACCTGCCTAATGAGTAAGAGATTTATTGACAAAAGTTGTGAATGTTTGTTTCAGTAGGGTCAGTGGTACTAGAGCTAAGTCATTCATTGTTATTCAAGTCATTCAAGCATTCAAGTCACCAACAATATTGGCTGAGAAATATAGAGAAAGAGATCGGTTAACTTGATAAGAAATAACATTAAAGAGTACAGTCTTGAAAACGAGAACAAAGAACAATGAGAAATTTTATAGAGTGAAGAGATGCTAAAGGAAAGCACATAAAAGAATGGCATAAGGACTTAAACCTAATTATGTGGCAAATAGGCGAGTTGATATACTATATGCACAAATCAAGCATGTGATTATTAATGTCAAAAGCAAATCAAAAGATAATAGCCATTAACACTCCATAGATGAAACAGATGAGTTCAAATAAGTCTCACATTGCAATCCTGCATTGATTCCAATCCATTGATTCTGAAACGCTGAGTTAATGGCAAAAAGGCTAAATAGTTTTGATATTGACTTCCTAAAAGAAATTGTTGCCATAACCACAACAAGTGATGGTGATGAAGTTATACCGCTGATGGTGATGAAGTTATACATGAAGACTGCGGTTTGAAAATATTTTTGGATCAACTATTTGCTGAATTAGTTAGCAATTACTAAAATCTCATTAAAAAAGAAAAGAAGTTGTTAAAATCTTTTAACACTCTTTTTGTTAAAATGATTTATTTATCAAAATTTACAAAAAGTATATCCTACATGAATAAGGCAAAAAACTAAAGTCGACTCTTAATTGTCAGGTGACACGAAATAATTTGCTCGATATGGTGGAATGTTTTCATAAACTCAAGTTATATGTCAAAAAAGGTTTCATTGACAGTGCATATTAAGAATAAGGTTTCACAAATAAAGAATAGTCTCAAATCAATAATTTAATTCTTAGCCTGATACCAATAAAACTTGGTTAAGAAGTGTAACGCAGAAGAAAATCTGTCAATGAAACAACTTTTTGATTTATTTTAGCTAAATTAGATCAGCAATATTCAATTTTGAGCATTGATTTATCTGATGCACTGCGTAAGAGATTTACACAATGTCACAATAATAATTTAACTGGTCTACTAATTTACTTACAAAATCCTAGAAAAATTCAACAAGAAAATAAAAATATTCTTAATGCCAAAGAAAAACATACATCAAGAAATTAAAAAATTGTTGACAAGAGTTTACACAAAGAAAATGAAGATGAAAAATCTATAGAGGATTCTCAACAACCTAAATGAATCTCAAAATCACTGAATGAAGAATTAGAAAATTAAATATAAAAAGAGAAGAAAAATTGGGCAGAAATGTAAAGATGTTAAGTTTTGACTTTTTTTGACTTTAAGAAATTATTGAAAGTAACATCTCCTTATAAAATTAACAGAATAAGAGGCAAGCTTCTTGGTATGATATAAAATGTATGATAACAAAATCCCCAATAAATGTTACGATCGAGCAAAATTTTTCAGCGTCTGATTATATATGCAGCCCTTTGAGAAGTAACTTGGGAGATGATACTTTAAGTTGTGCCATTTTATTAAGATCACATTACTTGCAACTATTCTCACACATTTAGTATTTTAAAAAATAGGCTAATTTTTTATTTTTTTTAGGCTACGCATTTATATTTTTATTTTTGTTTAATAAAAATTTTGAATTATATTGATTTACTTTAATTTACCACACCTTTGTACATGTTTTTAAAATTTTTGAGCTTGTTATCCTAAATTACGTAAAACATAAGAACAATTGTTATTTTGTCATGGTTATCTTTATAACATGTAAAATGTTTATAACGAACCCCTTGCGAGGGATCCTGCATGAATTTAAAAATTCTGTGCGTATGCAGCGGGATTGAAAAGTGTGCAGGAATGCAATCAAATTACTAAATAAGACGTCAATTAAAACCTGTTTTAAAACTTTATCAGTAAATCATTTTCTCTTTATTTTGTTTTACAATACTAACTCATTGCAGTAACAATGTGTGAAAAAGTGTAGAACCTCTCAGCTGCAATTACAATATATATATATATAATAAATAATATATATATATATATATATATAATATATATATATACAATAAATATATATATATACAATATATATATATATATATATATATATATATATATATATATATATATATATATATATATATATATATATATATATATATATATATATACAATATATATATATACAATAAATATATATATATACAATATATATATATATATACAATATATATATATATATATATATACAATATATATATATATATACAACATATACAATATATATATATACATACATATATATATATATATATATATATATATATATATATATATATATATATATATATATATATATATATATATTGTATTGTATTGTATGTAAAACAATTAAATTTAATGTACTTCCGCATAAATTAATTGCTTTGACATTTCGATGACAATCAAAAACAGCTTAAGAGACGAGGTAATTAAAATTGTAGTCGTAAGAGACTTTTTTTACATTAAAATGCTCTTAAAGCTACACTATATGGGTATATATATATATATATATATATATATATATATATATATATATATATATATATATATATATATATATATATATATATATATATATATATATATATATATATATATATATATATATATATATATATATATATATATATATATATATATACCATTTTACCTTTATCCCAGTAATCATCCAAGTCATTTTTTAAAAATCTGGAAAAATAGTTTATGTAAAATATCCAGAACATATTTTCCCTTACTATTCTCCTAATTTTGCTCTCAGCTGGAATTTTTATAGACATTTTTGACATTTTTTTTATGGCTGATCACTGAGAACGAAAAATGTATATACATTAAAACAAATATTATATAAACTTGAATGTATGAGAAAACATTTTGGATATCCGGAAAAACTATATTTTGAGAAAAATATCCGGAATTCCAGAAATATCCGGAAAAAGATATTCCCTGTTATCTTTTTTAAAATCAACAGGCAGTTTAAATTGATAACTTTCTGGACTCTAATTAACAAGTTTTTCTTTTGCGCATTTTTTTTTTTATTATGACATTACAGCCACCATTCAAGCTCAGTCACACTGCATTCCTTTGGATTTCTAAACAGTTTAGAACCAGAAACATATTTATCAGAAATACAGGTTAAATTCCCAAATTTTACTACCATCATTTGACCTGTTTATCTCTATCATAGCCTAGGTACAAACAAGTTATAACCTTTTGTGACATGCAAAACCCTGCCCTAATGCAATAATGCATAACCAAAACTAAAATGACAAAAGCAAGCCCATTAAAGAGAAAAATTTAAATGGAGAGAGGAAAGTGATAAAGATAATGCGTAAGGCTAAACTGAAATAAAATGGCTTATACAATTTAGTCACCTCAATATTTGTGGAAATATAGGGGTAATTACTACTAATAAAAACCCTTTGAAAATCATTTTATTTCTTTCTAATAACATCTGCTCTTAGCACAAAAAACATTAGATAAAAGTTGAGATTTCTACTGTTTTTCTTTTGAATTTTTACAGGGTGGTCTTAATTTTGCAATAAATGATACCTATGTACATATGAAAAGGGTTAAAAACTTTGATTGTGTACACTTTATCCTAATGTGTGCGCTAAAACTAAATTGAGCATGCTAAATGTCAAACTGCACACTTAAGCAATTTGAGTGGGATTATAATATTTCACGTTTCTGTAATTTTTATTCTTCAATGTATTCACCTAAAATTGGAAATAACAATACAAAATTTATGAAACAACTGTTTTATTGTTTTTACAATGCTGCGCTGAGCTGCACATTGCTTCAAATTTTTCACACAAATGAAAATTTTGAAAAGCCTTTTGAAAGCAGATAACATATTTAAAAAAATTGTTTTTTCCCTGTATTTTTTCTATATCTAAATTTAATAAGTATTTTTCAAACATATGAACCATTTTTCTCCAACAGCTTTTGTTTTTGAATTATAGGTAACTACCCTCAAAGAAAGAACTAATTGACTAAGGTCTGAACATACCAAAAGAGAGAAAAGAAAAAAAAACCAAAATCTGAACATACCAAAAGAAGCTTCAAAAATTTTAGCATCTTGTTTAAAAGAAAAAAAATTGCTTACTTTGGAAACTAAGGGTACTATTTATATTATTTTCTTGAGTACTATTAAAGTACATAAGAAAGGGATTTGTTTAGTATTTTTGTCATGCGAAGGATAAAACTACTTTTGTAACTGATTGGTCTCTTTTTTATAGACAGCAGCAAAAGTTTAAAGTTTGCTTCATAATGGTAACAACTACAAATCCATACCTATTGCACATCAGACTATGAATGAAGAATAAACACATTTCTAAGGTCATCAAATACATTAGGTATAAAGACCACAACTGGATTATTTGTGATTTAAAAATGTACTTTGAAAATGAACATACTTTCTTCCAGGTTAACAATGGAGGTACACAAAGATTCTGCGTTTCATTTGTATCTAGCTGATAGCTGCGACAAGCAACACCATTGGTCAAAAAGTTTGGCCAGTGTGTGAAGAGCTAAAAGTTGGTGCAAAAAACGATACTTCATACTTCATATAATGAAACAGTTTTCTTTCATAAGTTCAAAGATTGAGTATAAAAAAAAGCCAGTATTTTAGAGACCAGATAAGTCACCTTGTGAATTTTTTATAAATAGAATTCTTCATAAATATTTTTGGTTACTTGCGATACTGGGGCAGCTTAAGGTGGCACCCTATTTTATCACATTTAAAACATGGTAAAAGTACCTAAAGAATTGAACAAAAAACCATCACCACCACCTAATCTTTTAACTTACTATTTACAAATATTTTTTTTTTACATTCATAAATTTTTGTCTAATAGTTGACCCAATAGACTTCATTCCAAAAATTAGAACTAATTTGTTTCTGTTGAGAGTTTCTTATGTAACAAGAAATCTGATGACCACGTTGAAGTTGTTGAAAGCATGCTTTCAAACTTACATGAGATGAGATGCAACATGAACATTAAAATCCACAAACTACACTCACAATTAGAACAATTTTCACAAAATTTAGGTGATTTAAATGAAGAGCAAGGTTAATGATTTTATCAGGATATTTAGACAATGGAAGAGCGTTATCAGGGAAGGAGGAACTCACATATGATGGACTACTGTTGGAGTTTGAGATTTACCTATTTGTTCATTTAAACAAATTTTAAAAAGATCTTTTTTATTAATAAAATATTAATATGTATTCATAATATTGTATGGTTAAGTCAAAATAGCTTAACTCTATATTTCAAAAAGTAAAGTCTCAGTATTTTTGCCAAAGGAAAATCCAATAACAGTAAAAGCAATTGAAGAAACTATAGAGTTGACCAGCATTATTTCTGTTATTAATATTGTTACTATTATTTTTTTGGTACTACTTTATTACATTATTATTAGTATTGGTACTACTATTATTACTTCTGTAGAAAAAGCATAAATATTTTTACTGCTAAAAATGTATTTCTTGGAGATGGATCAAAGTCCAAAATTGAGGTGGATCAAAGTCCAAAATTGAAATTAAATTTTTAATATAAAAATTTAATTTCAATTTTAAAATAAAGTTATTTAATATAATGGTAATTTTTTTCTTAAACTGTCATTACAACCCTCTTAAATCTTGAGAACACTTTTAACTTGAGAACTATGATTTACCTCCAGTAAATCATAATAGTTCATATTAGTAATAGTATAAACTTGACTACTAATCATAATAGATTCATACTATTATAAGTAGTCAAGTTTATAGTTTTAATTTAACAGTTAAATAAAATACACACTATTTTTATTATGCAGTAGTTGTGCTGGTAAAGCACTCGCCTCATAAGTTAAGAGTTTGATCCCCACTATGCTGCTATTAGTGCTTGACTTGTTTCTGAGTAACAACCTTGTTCCTTAAGGTAGTGGAGGAGGCTATTTTATTGTAACCACAAAGTAGCTTCCTTGAATGTAGTGGCCCTTAGGGAGGTGAATAACAACAACAAAAATTAAAACAACTAAATAATCTGAAAAAGAAAAAAAAATCCGAGAAATTAGCAGTAGTTACCATTGGGACGAAATCTAAGACCACTGATATATATATATATATATATATATATATATATATATATATATACACACACTTGTGTGTGTATATATATTATACACACACACAAGTGTGTATATAAACACACTCACACATGTGTGTATATATACACGTGTTTATATGTGTATAGAGTTGTATGCCCTAATGTATAGAGTGTGTGTGTATATATATATGTGTATTTATGTGTATAGAGTTGTATGCACTATGTGTATAGAGTTGTATGCATATATGTGTGTATAGAGTTGTATACACACTATAATAAAAACAGAAGTTGAGCAATTTCTTTACATTTTTATTACCGTCATTATTACTTATTAAAATTGTTTAATATATAAATGTTATAAATATTATTGTTGTTATTATTGCTATTGTTGTTATTATTGTTGTTGTTATTATAATTACTAATATAATCATTATTGTCATTATTATATTTAATAGTATTTTTGATATTATTATAATCGCCTTCATTTAATTTACATTATTATTATTATATGATTGCTATTATTATTTAATCAGTGTTTACCTTAGATTAGTACTCGTACTATAAATAAATGACTATGAAATGTAAACTTTTATTTCAGAATATATATTGTTATTGTTTAGATTGTCAGCTTTGTTTCTGATTTAAAAGTAAATAAATCAAAAGAGCAAAAATGAAACAAAAACCACAAACCATTGCTAAACAAATTAAGAAAATTTCTTAGAGACCTGTACAAATCAAGAGCAGTTAAGCTTAGTTACTATAAAATATAAGGTTTTAAGTGCACAAAATCGCAATAGATATTCTTCAAGTAAAACTTTAAATCAAGTTGAATACACACATATATACATAAATATGTATACATATTTAGAAATGTGTGTATTCAAAATGATTTATAGTTTAAGAAATCTACACTATAGTGTAGATTTCTTTACTTAATTAGATATATACATAAACATATTATATAGTATTTATCAAAATAAAACATTTAAGATCGATTGATATTGTTAAACACATGTACTTATAGAATATTAATTAGTAAAGTTATAAAGAACACAACTTATTTTGACAATATTAAACATCATTTTACAGGCAATCATTTGTTATTTACCATAATTTGAACTATATTTGCACATAATTTAAAAAGTTTCGTTCCATATTTGTCCGATCAAAAAAAGACGTTTTATAAAAATCAATATAAAAATAATTACCATGTTTCGACAATTTCTGCTTGGTAGACTTCAAATGGACCCAGCGTTTCCTTTTTCTCTCCACAGAAATACTACCAACAAAGTAGATAAAAGGTTTAAAACAATACATTTAGAAATATTTGATAATTTCTGTAAAAATTAGTCATAAACAACGACTTCTTAAAAAATGAAAAGCTCAGAGACTAAGCACCGTCCGCTTCTAGCGCTTTTTATCTCGGAAAGGCTGTTAATATAAAATTTTGAACTAAATATCTCTTGATTTACCCCCGGTAAATTTACATTTCATATTATTATAAATGTTCAAGTTTGTAGTGTTAATATAACAGTTAAATAAAAAATAAACAATTAAACAAATTTAGTGTTTTAAATTTTTTAATATTATTATTTTAAAAAAATAACAGGCCATCCATGAAAAAAAAAAGTAATACCTTTAACACCCTTCAGGGGGTAACCTCATATAATTTGAAAACGAATTCAACGTGTCGTATACCTAAACAGCCGCCTGATTTTTTTTTTTTTAATTTTTTTTGTAAATTGTGGTCGGTTTAATTGCAAAGCATTGTGGTTTATGTTTGCTTTATATGGCATAAAAATTTCAGTCACGTGACTTATTTAGGGCAAAAAATCAACAAATTATTAAAATAGCCCCGCGAGAATAGCGAAACCTAACAAGGACATAACTATCTAATTTTTTTACAGTTTCTATATTAACCATTAAGTTATAACGCTTGTTTTAATTTGTTTAGATCTTGTTCAACGATCCGATTTTTTTCTGTAACAAATTGCACGCTGAACATAATAAAAATAGACTTTCTAATTAGTAAAACTTTAGAAAAGTTTTTCAGGTGGAATCTGCTTAAACGGTTAAGATCCATCAAATTAAAAGATGTTTAAGTTATTTTTAAAGTATATTTATTCTTGAATAAGCAGGTTTTAGCATTGTTTTAAGACAAAAAAAAATTTCAAAGTTTTCGTCATGGGCGAAATAATACCCAAGATTCAGTGGTGTTGGGTAATCGTAGAAGATTTTTTTTTTTTTTTTTTCATGATTTTTTACAACTTTATAAATTATTGTTACAAATCCTTTTCTTGACATAATATATAGTCATAGAGAAAACAACAATAAATGTATACATATATAAATCGCAAAAAATATATTGTCAAACACACTGTGTTAAATACAAAGTATATGTTTTATATATATTTGATGATAATAAATTTGATAAGATAATTTGGTGAAATAATTGTGATGTTTAAAGGAAACTCGTAGAAGACTTAAAGAAGTCTTGTCATCGAGAGCCTTTGAGACATAAAATAAGTAAAAAATTAAAAAGCAAACTTATTAAGTGACATTACAAGAGTAATACACATAAAAATATTGAGATATTAAAATTAGTGTGTTGCATAAGAATTATGGATTTTGTTATTTTTTCTTTTTCTTTTTCACTTTCTTGTCAAATATGTTTAAAACATATCGATAAAATTTGTTGAGTTAATTATGAGATGTTTAAGGTTTTTCTTCAAAGTATAAAGATTACCAGAATTACTAAGTTCTATATTTTGGGGTATGACTTTGTTATATAGGTAAGGGCCACGGTATACAATTGCATATTGCGAAATTTTTGTTTTTTTTTTTAGGTAACGTGAAATTTCCCGTTCCTCTTGAAGTATTCTTATTAGCGTTAATTTGAAAAAAGTTATTAGAAAAATAATTTGGAACTAGTCCAAGTTTGTATTTCAACATAAATAAAATATTTTAGTATATATATATTGAATAGATTTTCGGTATGGAAATTAGAGGGGTCTGTGGAGTTGTTTAATTTTTTGTAACAAGTTAAATGAGTTGGCTTTGCTATAGATTTTATATCATGCAAAATAAAGCTGTATGGAACACATAAACATGTTCGTGTTTTTAATTTTTCATTCATAAAAGATTTATTTTTTTGATTATTTAGTTAAAAAAGAAAGAAGGTTATCCGTTGCCTACATTAAAACCTCTGTATCCGGGTATGACTTTTGTTGATGCATTGTTTTAAAAATTAACTGAACTTCTGGCAATAACACTTTTAAAACAATTGATTTAAACCTAAGCACCATTGAGTAAAGAAACATAAGACAGAAAAATATTTAGTTAAATATTGTGAAACTTAAAAACGTTACTAAACAAGTTTAAGGAAGCAACTAGGTAAACACGGTGTTTGTAAAAATATTATACAGAATATATTTTAATGATAAAAATATTGATGAAATATCAATTAATTGATGAATACGATGAAGAAAAAAGTTCAATATTCTGTAAGTTTCATACTTAAGTAAATTTAGGATATTTTGCAAAAAATAATATAATTCCTGTAAACAAACTCACTATTGGCTATTCATAGAACATTTTTGAGCAATCAGACATTTGAAAAAGCAATGTTAAACACAAGGCCATCCCAAGGAGGGGGGTGTAGGGGCAGGGCCGGTCTATTACTATTAGGAAATTAATTAGTCGGCAAATTTGAACATTGGAGTCATCGAAATTGGATTTGCAGTTGGCAGTCGGCAATTGTTAGCCAACAAGGACCTTCTTTTATATTAACAATTATTTTCGTTCTTTTACATTACAAGTTATTACTTTTACATTACAAGTAATTACTACGAACTTGAATTGTAAAAGAATTGTATATAAGTTTTTTATACCACTACCTAGTCGGTACAAGACGTATTTTAGACGTCTAAAATATGTATTAGTTAATATGTTTTGATACGTATTTTAGACGTTTTAAACACGTATTGTGCCCACTGGGTAGTATAAAAAACATATATAACTTTAACGCGCTATAATCAAAAATAAACAATTATAAATAAAAGTAAGCAAAAAGAAATTTAACGTAAAAAAATTAAATATTACAAAATTTCTTAAAATAACAGTGTTGTAATTAAAAAAAAATTGTTGGAAACTTGTAGAAGACCAGAAGGTCTTATCATCAAGAACCGCTGTGTAGCATTCATATTTTTACAATATTAGGTTTTTGACAATTGCGTTAAATGTTAATACAGTTTGTTTTTAACTTAAAAACGTTTAAAAAGTTAAAAATATTTTAGTCAACAAAAAAATTTTTTTAGGTATCACTCGGTCTAAAAAAAATTTGTATGTCATTTGCGTCAGATATTAAAAAATAAAATTTCTTAGAACTGCCTATTATTATTATCTGTATTATTTGAGTTTGATAAGTTCTAGCCGAGTACCGATTTTAAATTCAATGATTGATCTGATTTAAAATGATTGACCTGAAATTAAGTTAAAGATCTGACTTTAAATTAAATTGATTTGAATTAAAATTAAATTGTGACTTTAAATTAAAAAAAGACAAAGAAAATTAATACTTAATTAAATGGAATGTTCGATAAAGAAATTCAATAAAAGGAAAAACGTTGAAGAGTTAAGAAAATCGAATTCGAAAAATGTTTAAACCATTCAAAATAATCAATAAAAATCATTAAAAAAAAAAAAAGAAAAAGAAAAGTAAAAATTATTTATTAAAAAAGAAAAAGAAGAATTTGATTATCTATATTTTTACTTAATTTGATTTCGCTATTTCTTGTTTTATTTGATTATTTTTATTTATTAATATTATACATTATTATTGTTATTATTATTATTATTATTATTATTATTATTATTATTATTATTATTGCTATTATTATTATTATTATTATACATTGTTATTTATTCTATTTTTGTTTAAGTTTATAATATACTTATAATATTAGATATAACTTTGATACAATTTTCTTTTTAAATTTTATTTTTCTATTTAATTTATAATTCCTAGTTAAATATTCTTAGTTTTGGTTACTTGTTAGTGATACATTATTACTTATTATTTAGTTGTTTTATTATTATAACTATTAATTTATATTAGTTTGTTCATTAATACTGCTTAATTTACGGCAAATATTACTTTTATAATTGTCTCTATTATAATTACTATTTATAATATTGTATCAGTGACGGATCCAAGGGGTATGGGGGTGCATGCCCCCCCCCCCCTCCTATTCTAATCTTATGACAATAAATTTTGTTCTCATAACTTTGACATAATAAACTCTACTTCCTTTTCCTTTAGAAGCTGTTGAAGTTTAAAGTTAAATATGGAAACCATTTTTCAAAACTAATTTTGAAAAATTAAGAATTTCATTTCGTGGAACTTTTCTTTTAAAAAAATCATTATACAACATTTTGATTTTTTTCTTGAATGGAGCTATATCTCTTTTAAGAAAAAGCCTAAAGAAATTATTTTGTCTCTTGGTGATATATTTTTATATTTTTAAACGCTTAATAATTTGCGATATTTTTTTGAGGGTTTGTAATTTACGAGCGATTCTCGTTACAAGTATCCGCGTCTTTTTTTCTTTTTTTTTTTCATACTTGTATATTTATTTTATATTTTAATTATTTCTTGTTGCGTAACTAATTTTTATTTCAACTATTTTATTGTAAAACGGTTTTCTGATGGGCATATTAAAAAAAAATAACCGTGTTTCCTGCCTCAACGTCAAATTCATTACGTCATAACAACAAAGCTTATTGATTTTTAAATAAAAACTGCATAGGTGTGCCGAATGTCAAAAGTAGTAACAAACAAAATAAACTTGTAATAAAAATTAAGTTTAAATTACAAAATCTACAATGGCTGCTAATATTTTAAGATTAAAACCCTTAGAATTTGCTCATATATTAGATTTGGTAAGTTTATTATTCTTACTTTTTTTTATTTAATTTTATTTTATTTTTAAATTGCATGTTTGTTTTTTTAAGAAAGATAATTTTATGTTCTGCTATGAAAAATACCAGACCAGATCAATTATTGTTTTTCAAAAAGAAAATTCAGATTACAAAAATTTGTCATAATCTAGAGTTTTTTATATAAATTTTTAACCTTTCATCAAAGAAATTTTCATTTAAAAAATACTCTTTAAGTTACAAAACAATTTAGGACACAAAAAATAATTTATGGTACAAAATGCTTAACATGCCCTGAAGATGAAGATCTGAACATATTGTTATTATTAATTAGTTTTAAAATTAGCATTATTGGAATTACAGAAACAAGGTTAAAAAAAAATCTACTTCCACACATCCACTTCACACATCAACCAAATCTTCTTGTGGCGGAACCATGTTACATCTATCAAAAAAACTGATTTATAAAAGAAGAGATGATTTGCTCATATACACACTAAACTATTTAAAATCTACTTTTGTTGAAATAATTTTTTTAATTTTAAAAGTTAAATTATAAAAGTTAAACGTTATTGTTGGTTGCATATATAGACACCCAAGCATGGATGTAAACGACTTCAATAATAAACCGTCTGTCCTTCTTCAAAAAATATACAATGAAAATAAATCCGTCTTTCTTGATGATTTTAACATGGACCTTATACAGTTAAACTCTGACTTTGCAGGTTTTGAGTTTTTAAACTTACTTATTTCTTATAATATTCTGCCATTCATTACGCTACCAACGAGAGTTACTGACCATTCTGCTAAAATCAT